ATTGCTGCTTTAAATTTCCACTGTTTATACAATACTGCTTTATGATTGTTAAAAAGTAATAAATGGATAGTGAAGTAATTTAGTTCAAAGGATTGGCTTGCCTAGATCACACTAGTAGGCGCCATCACGACTCTCAAGGGTGAAAAATCCGGATCGTGACATTTGATATTCTGAAAAATTAGTAGCTATGGGAAAAGATGTTAAGATAACATAGAGTAGTATTATTGTAAGCATGTTATTGATTTCTATCTAATTACTAATTTCATTTTGAACTTGTAGGAAAGTTCCGGTGAGCAAATTGGAAATGGTAGCCAAAATACTATTTGATCTGTTGGAGTTTAATGATGAAGACTTTGGACAATTACAATTTTTGTTATTCTTGATATTATAATAAATACATTTGATTTTGCAAAGTTAATTGTTAGCATGCACCTTGAAGCAATTTGCTTTATTTGTTGTTGTATTACACACGAGATTTATTCGTTTTTTGAAGTTCATTACTAATATATGTATTTGAATTATTCTTATGTCCTCTTCAAGTTAATTGAGTGCTTATCGAATATTTTAAAAAATGTAAACTATTGATTACAAAAGCATGACTTATATAAATATAAAAAATTACTTTATTGCTTAGACAAAATTGCCACGCTTCAAAAGTGTGGCCTTAGAGATTGGCAAATGCCTATATCGCAGCAAAAGCCACGCTTCACAAGTGTTGTATTAGGCGCTACGTTTGAAAAGTGTGGCTTAAAGAGTAACAAAGACCACACTACTAATGTGTTGCCCTAGTACACGAAAAGTGTTGCTGTTGAGGGTACAACAAGTGTGGTTTTTGTTACTCTTTAGGGCAAAAGTTACGTTAGTTTAGGCCACTCCTGAAAAAGCGTTGTCTTAGGCCAGAAAGTGTGGTTAAAGGCCTAAAATGTTGTAGTGATATCAGTTGAATCTTACATTTTCAGCCGTTTGCCTTCCCTTTCTGGATAAATTATTCATAATGGCTCTGAAGATTCTTGCTCCTCTATAATAAAGTTTGGTATCCTAATGTAGATTGGAAAACATTTCATATCAAAAGAGTTGTAAAGCAGAACAAATGCTACTGCGCAATTTTGTTTTCAATACTAGGGAAGCAGTACTACTTACAGGATCAACATCTTCAACTATCACCTGTCAACGAATGAAGACCCATCACAATATCTGACCCTAACTCTATTCTAATTGTAAAAGTCTGCCAACTCAAATATTTACAAATTAGTAGCCGCTAAAATACGAAGAAAAATGACAAAGCAAGAGAATAGTAAATATTTTATAGCTTCACCTGGATTAATTCTAAGATCGTTATGAAGAATCCCCGAAAATCAGACTAGTGGTGGCAGCATCTTTGTGGAAGAACCTAAGACGCTATTTGAACGATTATGTCAATCCGAGATACTAGAGCACCAACCACCGCCCTAATAATTGAAGATTTGGCAACTTGGTTATGATAAAGATGAAAAGAAGATGAATAATAGAAGAAGAAGAAGAAGAAGAAGAAGAAGTAAATGTAACTAACATCAATGACGATGATCCAGCTGCGAAGTCCTGTGCCATATCCCCGATCAAGATGATATGCCGGGGGGCTCCCGTCGAGGCACACTGTTAGTGACTCAAAAAAAAATTAAATACTTAGTATACAAGTCCGCATGTCATTCTCTTTCTCTGTTGCTTAATGATTGTGTACTCAACTATTTTACTAATTAGTATACTAGTCTGCGCGTGACTCTCGTTTCTCTGTTGCATAATGTACTTTGCAGTAAATATTATACATGCGCCTTCAGCAGTGGCGCTGTGAAGTATGGTGATGTTGACCATCAGTTCCTTTTGGGCCATTATAGTTGTCAACATTGCTAGCAAAGCTAACAAGTAGCTCGTTGCCGTCCTGCAAAATATTCAAATAATTAAGCAGTTGTTTGTTCGTGCTTATAATATTGCATGTGTAAAGATTCGTTCTGTTAAAACAATGGACTGCCAAGTTTTAGCTAGTTAAAACACTGAAGAAGAGAAAGAGTATAAGCCAAAACCAGAAGAAAGAGATGCAAAGAGAAATAGAATGCATGAAAGAATACATTTGTTCTTCTTAAAAAGGCAGATCCGAGAAAGCAAATGAGAGAATTTTTTCCTTTTCGAGAGAAAGAAAAATTGCGAGTAACTAGAGGTGAATGAGTTGGTCTGATAGTTCATCTCTATTTCGAATGCCAATGCCAGTAACTATTTTGCTTGCTTCCAGGCTAGAGTTCTAAAATGTAACGAAAATAAAATATCTCTGTCGGGAGAATAGCTCCATGCATGCGCCAATCTCCATCACTTCTTTACTTCTTTTCTTCTCGTCTCAAACAAATCACATGGTTTTCTCTTGCCATATTTGGCAGTAGAAATTAATATTTTCCATAACCATCTTCTTTTCTTGGCAGTGAAATTTTTCTCTCTTCACTTCTTTTATCTTCTTCAAACAATCACATGGGTTGCTCTTGCTAATTGGCAGTAGAAATTAAATATCAAAAACCCTTTTTCTTTTCTTGGTGCTATTTGGCAGTAATAATTATAATTTCCCATAACCTTCTTCTTTTCTTAGCAATGAAAAAATAACTCGCTTTACATCTTCTCTTCTCTCTTTGAACAGTTCACATGGTTTACTCTTGCTTTTGGCAGTAGAAATTCAAATTTTCCATAACCTTTTTCTTTTTTTGGCAGCGGAAAATGACTCCTTACTTCTTTTCTTCTCTTTTCGAACAATTCTCATGAGTTCGTCTTGCTATTTGGCGATGATTTTGTTATTATTATGCCTGTATTTGTAAATAATGATTCTGGAAATTAGAACGTTAGCTTATAAACGTAAATATAAATAAAACAGAAATTAATTCGAGCCCACTGAATTCATAGTGTTTCCTTAAGGAATTTAATCCCCTCCTAGTACCCAAGGTTATGGATTATTTCCTCCCAGGATAGAACGAATTACACACTGGTGTAGCGGTACTTCAAACCCCAGTGTTTCAGCGAATACAAAGTTCGGCAGCAAATCACACTTACAGATGCTTTGTTTGTATTTTAAAACAATGCATAACAAGGGAGGAAAACTCAGAAGTCGAATGGAAATTCTGAGAGGAAGGAATGCAAATTATAGCCAACGTTGAGTTTTCGGTGAAGAGAAGATCAATAGCTCTCAATTCTGTTTCGGTGTGTTTTTCTCCAACTGCTGTTGTTCATATTTATAGCAGTCAGTTGTGAGACCCACCCCCTCTCCACGGTGGAGCATGCACTAGCTTGGTATGGAGCAAGCCATGGTGGAGCATGCACTAGCTTGTTATGGAGCAAACACTTAGCCATGGTGGGAGGAGCACTAGGCGGCTGCTATTGCAACTTGTGGTACAATACACAGATTGGAACATATCTGTTACAAACACGGATAATATTACGTTAATATCTATTATTAACAAATAAATTTGGTCCAAAAAATTAATCAATCAATCGATCATTTGACCAAATCCAAATCCAAATCCAAATCCAAATCCAAATCCGAATCCGAATATGAAGCCGAAGCCGAAGCCGAGCCGAGCGAGCGAGCGAGCGAGCGATGGCGCGAGGCTTGCCTTCTTCTTAACTCTTTAAGAGCTACATGAAGTGCATTTGTATATAAACCCACCAAACTCCTTTTCCTCTACCAATGAGGGACAATGTCTCATTAAAAGGAGAGAGAAACTTAAAATTTTACTCAAAATTTTCATTTCCCTCCATTTCCCATTCACCCTCTTTTTAATACCTTTCTATATTAAAAAGAAACTCAACAATCCCCCACATGAATGGGGAATGGCTATATCACGGAAGTATGCATGAAAAACTTGTGTGATTTGCAAGCAAGGATTAATTGCATCTGGATAAGTAGGTTTCCCTTTGAACTTTCCGTAGTGAACTTATGTCGGATATACTCGGTCAATCGGTAGATTTGATATCTTTGAACCGTCGAACTTTAGTGTATACCTAGACAACCATAAGTCACACAATCAATCCCTTAACCGTCTTTGGTTCTCATTGTTGTGTTCGTTTCAGCCATGAACACTGCCTGGTTTCATAAGTGCGTAGAGAATTGGCCTTGCAAAATTCTCCTTGAAGCGGCTAACACTTCACACTTACATAGGTGATTCCTAAAAGTGGCATCCCGTAGATACACTATTTGATATACCCTGTATGAAATTTAGAAATCATTAAAAAGCCTTAATGCTTTATCCTTGGTACTGAACATTGTCTCATCACGAGAATGGACTAAACTTTTTGTTGACAATGTTGAACCGTCATTAATGACTTTGTTTGATCTCCTTGAACCTAGATCTTGGGATTTCCGGTCTTCTAGGTAGAGTTACCGCCACAATGACTTGTTCTCGGCCATAGTCGCATTCCCCTCGATAATTTCTCAACTACCTCTCTAGTTAGGCCTTTTGTAAGTGGATCTGACACATTATCACTTGACCTTACATAGTCAATCGTGATAATTCCTCTAGAGAGTAGTTGCCTAACGGTTTTATGTCTTCGTCGTGTATGACGAGATTTACCGTTATACATAACGCTCCCAGCCCTTCCAATTGTTGCTTGACTATCACAATGTATGCATATTGATGCCAACGGTTTGGGCCAAAATGGAATGTCTTCCAAGAAATTGCGGAGCAATTCAGCTTCTTCACCGGCTTTATCTAAGGCTATGAACTCAGCCTCCATTGTAGAGCGGACAATACATATTTGTTTGGACGACTTCCAAGATACCGCTCCTCCACCAATAGTAAATACATATCCACTTGTGGACTTCGAATCAGTTGAACCGGTGATCTAATTTGCATCACAATATCCTTCAATAAACGCAGGATATTTACTGTAGTGCAAATCGAAGTTTTGGGTATGTTCTAAATATCCCAAAACTCGTTTCATTGCCATCCAGTGAGATTGACTTGGATTGCTCGTGTATCGACTTAGTTTACTTATAACACAAGCTATATCTGGTCTCGTACAATTCATGATGTACATTAAGCATCCCAACACACGAGCATAATCCAATTGTGATATGCTT